GTGAACGATGTGCGTGGGATAAGAATAGTACCATCTGTTATCGAGTTACTAAATAGCATTTAATCGCTGCGATCTAGCGTTGATGGCACGATACGAATTCGAAAGAGAGCTCAAGTGGCAGCGCAAGAATGTATAATTCGTATTCTATTGTTTATAATAGTGGGCCTTCTCTCCTACATCAACTTGCTTTCTGCAAAACAAGCGATGGAGTTTATCGTTCACTAGTGAACATAACCAATATCAGTCATCATTCGGGGTTGCAACACTTGAGGTGGCCGGCTACGGGACACTAACCACGAAGTGAAACTTCTTCATATGTACCATACACGTGAACGGGTTGCCAAGGTCGATCAATCAGAAGCTAATGTCTTATCTGGACGCTGAATGCGTCAACCAGAACTATCCAGAAGACCATTCTTAAGATATACTCACCGTCATGCACATTATCAACACCATTCCTCATCGACACTGATGGATGGCATGAGAAGTGTTGTTTATTCCACTTCATCACCCCCATCAGCGTACATGTGTCCCATGCCACATTCACTCACTCCTCCCACGAGCACATATATACATCAGCTCCCCACCCAGTTGATCACATCATCATTACATTCTCGAACCACATCCACTCTTTGCCTCATGAATCAACACATGGGACCATCTGGCGACCGGGCACCAATGAAGGGCCTCTTCGCACACCATCACTCAAGGTTCACACCAATCACCCTGACATCACTTACATCGGCGACACTGCCACCAGATACCTCGCCGACCGCAACTCACTCGCTTGAAACCGACCACACCTAAGCTGTGACCGACCTGTGACCTGAGAAGCTACGGTCATGCGGGTTCCTCCTGGCCCCCATTCCCGTGAAAGCACAGGGTTTTCGCCCTACAGATTAATACGACGAACCTGTAGGTAATGATTAGAGTGGGTTTATCATACTCCGTGATCGTGCACGCTTTTCTTAACAGCGACCAAAGCTCTTCAGGTTTCGATGGTTGGGCATGCTGGTCACTTGGGAGGAATCTTTGAGAGTTCTTTTTTTGAGTTGGTTGTATGTTTTTTTGTTGTTGTCGTGTTCACACTCGACAAACACATCACACGAGGATCGGTTGTGATTGTTGTTGGGTTGTGTTTTTGGTTAAGTATTAAATATCTTTTATTTTTGTTGTTTGTCCTGAAGATTTGTATATCTTTATCACACGGGCTTCCTTAAATTGTACGAACACTTTTACGACCTGTCAGATTTGTTCTTGTTTATGTATTGATGGTAATCTCAGGTCTACTTGCGATATAGAGATTAGTACAGGGACATGCTGGCCTACCGGACGTTTTGGCGCATGGATGGAGACTGAAAGGGAGTTAAGAGAATTTAATCTGCTTAAACGATGGGTATATACAATATAATTGGTCTGGGTTATCGAAGATGGTTTAGAGTGGGTGACTGTCCTAGTTGATGCCGATAGGGCAACGAGTGTATGTTATGCATCCAATGCAGAGCTTATATTGACTTCTCGTACCAACAGATTGGTGAAACAGTGATGGTGTCAGGCACCACCCATGTTAATAATTTGGTATAATTAGAAGATTAATTGACTAAGAAATAGAACTTACAAGTCATTTATATTCAATGTATTAATTATTCGAGAAGTGACTGAGATAGCTAGCGATTTAACAGCTCGGACGCAGATGCGAGGTCACACACACTAACATCGTTCCTGTCACACACACAAACACACACACACTCTAGTCTTTTCTTTACTATATTTAGTTAGAGTCTCATTATAAATTATTGTCATAAAGATTCATTCACATTAGCCATATGATATGTAGTCAACTGAGACCTGGCAAAGGATCTAGCTGACGTCTAGAGTGACATTATTTAGTACTGGTGGCGATCTCCGTAACGGCGGACCACCCTGTGCAGTCGAGGCGGCAAGACACCGCATTCGGCCGTTGAGCAGGCACTCGTATAAGTCCCGGCGTGCAGAGCACTTCCGAAGCTGGGCTCCCTCTCACGCGTGCCGCGGGGGGTTCGTGGCCCGGGGGCGTGGGCAAGGGTCGCCAGCCAACCAGAAGGGGCGGTGACAGGACACGCAGCAAGCCATCCTACAGGATGAAGTCGCGAGAGCCTCGAAGGGCTTTCATTCCCTGCATATAACGGGGCAATACGGATATGATATGCTAGAAATGAGGACAGAGTTGCCAGATGCGACATTGGCTCAACAATAGGCTACGGTGCGGCTTGCCAGTAGAACATCAGACATCCTGCTGAATGAGACGAGAAGCGGTCCAGCGGAGCAATCGAGGTCCGAGTGACGTAGGCGTGGGATGCAAGGAGACGGAAGGAGGGAGGCAGAAGGAACGCAAGACGAGGCACAAGAGTCAGGACGAGACAGTGATTGGGGCGGAGGCGAATAAAGCAAGAGCTCGAAAGATAGCATAGGATAGAGGAAAGAGGCAGAAGACAGGAACGTCGGGAGTGGCAGAGACCAA